CACGATAGGAGTGTAGAGCAAAAATCACGAGGGAGGGGGAAGGTCACAATAGGAGTGTAGAGCAAAAATCACGAGGGTTGGGGCGAGATCACTATAGGAGCTTAGAGCAAAAATCACAAGGGAGGGGGAAGGTCACGATAGGAGTGTAGAGCAAAAATCACGATGGTGGGGGCGAGATCACGATAGGAGTGTAGAGCAAAAATCACGATGGTGGGGGCGAGATCACGATAGGAGTGTAGAGCAAACATCACGAGGGTGGGGGTGAGATCACGATAGGAGTGTAGAGCAAAAATCACGAGGGAGGGGGAAGGTCACAATAGGAGTGTAGAGCAAAAATCACGAGGGTGGGGGCGAGATGACGAAAGTGTAGAGCAAAAATCACGAGGGTTGGGGCGAGATCACTATAGGAGCTTAGAGCAAAAATCACAAGGGAGGGGGAAGGTCACGATAGCAGTGAAGAGCAAAAATCACGAGGGCGGGGACGAGATCACGATAGGAGTGTAGAGCAAAAATCACGAGGCAGGGGGTGAGGTCTCGATAGGAGTGTAAAGCGAAAAATACGTGGGCAGTGGCAGGGTCACACTAGGAGTGTAAAGCGAAATTCCCGAGGATGGGAACAGGGCCACGATGAGAGTGTAGATCAAAAAGATTCTATGGTGGGGAAAAGGTCACGATAGGAGCGAAGAGTTAAAATGACGAGAGGGCATTAGACGAAAGAGCAGATAAGACATCACGTTTAAGGTGATGATAGGAGTGTGGAAAAAAATCACAAAGTTGGGACAGGATCGCAGGATCGCAGGATCACGAAAGGAGGATAGAAAAAAAATCAGGAGGGAGGGGTCAGGGTTATTGTTGGAATGAAGACCAAACATCACGAGTTGGGGCACAGAACGCGACACGGGGGCAGAACTCACGAGGATGGGGCAGCGTCACAACGAAATTTCAGTACAAAAATAATGAGGGTGAGGGCAGGTTCATGAGAGGAGGGCAAGGTGAGAGAAGAATACGTTAGTTGCTTAGAATGAGCTCAGTACTATCGAAAGTGTGCTACGCCATGGTAAAGCAATGCCAACAACAGGATGGGTACAATCCACAATTACAAGTTTTTTCACCATAGTCTTGGTAGTATTTTGTAAAATGAGCTAAAGGTTTGTAGTCAGAACTGCGACAAACTTTCAAATCATGTTATTTTTTAAAATCACATATAAAAGCCATCGTGTGATAATTGAAAACCTGAGTTTCACATGCGCTGCATCAAAACAAAATAAGAGAGATTTTCATTGTGTTGCAGGTAGTTTGAAAACTGATTACATCTCGTTAATGGAGACAAATGACTGCAAAAAGAAAATGAAGACCGTCTGTAGGAGAGGCTATTAGCAGAACGCTCATTTCTGGTACACTGCCATTTTTTGTATCCAATTCTCTCCTGCAAACAACATTGATGACGTCATTCCTAATACATAAATCTAACATGTTGATGAACTTGTGTATACGACGGCCATGTTCTATGTCGTTCTTCCGGGGGCCACGATATCACTCATCGTATATGTACGATCACTTCCTAAGCTTTATACAATGTTGATACATTTTAAGCCTCTGGCTTGTGTTGTTGTTTACAGTGGGAATTTTTTAAACAACAATGTACAAATTTATCAGAAGGCATGGCCTGTCTATACTTGGTTGTAAATTATGTTGTTGTGTTTTCTTGTCTGTCTTATTGTCCCCACGGTCCCTGTTGATGTCCTGTCTGTTTTATTGTCCCCACGGACCCTGTTGATGTCCTGTCTGTCTAATTGTCCCTACTGACCCTGTTGATGTCCTGTCTGTTTTATTGTCCCCACGGACCCTGTTGATGTCATGTCTCTTTTATTGTCCCCACGGACACTGTTGATGTCCGGTCTGTCTTATTGTCCACAGGGACCCTGTTGATGTCCTGTCTATTGTATTGCCCCTACGAAACCCTGTTGATGTCTTGTCTGTTTTATTGTCCCCACGGACCCTGTTGATGTCCTGTCTGTTTTATTGCCCCCACGGACCCTGTTGATGTCCTGTCTGTTCTATTGTCCCCACGGACCCTGTTGATGTCCTGTCAGTTCTATTGTCCCCACGGACCCTGTTGATGTCCTGTCTGTCTTATTGTCCCCACGGACCCTGTTGATGTCCTGTCTGTTTTATTGTCCCCACGGACCCTGTTGATGTCCTGTCTGTTTTATTGTCCCCACGGACCCTGTTGATGTCCTGTCTGTTTTATTACTATTGATGTCCTGTCTGTTCTTTTGTCCCCACGGACTCTGTTGATGTCCTGTCTGTTTTATTGTACCCCACGGACCCTGTTGATGTCCTGTCTGTCTTATTGTCCCCACGGACCCTGTTGATGTCCTGTCTGTTTTATTGTCCCCACGGACCCTGTTGATGTCCTGTCTGTCTTATTGTCCCCACGGACCCTGTTGATGTCCTGTCTGTTCTATTGTCCCCACGGACCCTGTTGATGTCCTGTCTGTTTTATTGTCCCCACGGACCCTGTTGATGTCCTGTCTGTTTTATTGTCCCCACGGACCCTGTTGATGTCCTGTCTGTTTTATTGCCCCAATTGTCCCTGTTGATGTCCTGTCTGTTCTATTGTCCCCACGGACCCTGTTGATGTCCTGTCTGTCTTATTGTCCCCACGGACCCTGTTGATGTCCTGTCTGTTTTATTGTCCCCACGGACCCTGTTGATGTCCTGTCTGTTTTATTGCCCCCACGGACCCTGTTGATGTCCTGTCTGTTTTATTGTCCCCACGGACCCTGTTGATGTCCTGTCTGTTTTTATTGTCCCAACGGACCCTGTTGATGTACTGTCTGTCTAATTGTCCCCACGGACCCTGTTGATGTCCTGTCTGTTTTATTGCCCTCACGGACCCTTTTGATGTCCTGTCTGTTCTATTGTCCCCACGGACCCTGTTGATGTCCTGTCTGTCTTATTGTCCCCACGGACCCTGTTGATGTTCTGTCTGTTTTATTGTCCCCACGGACCCTGTTGATGTCCTGTCTGTTTTCTTGCCCCCACGGACCCTGTTGATATCCCGTCTGTTTTTATTGCCCCCACGGACCATGTTGATGTCTTGTCTGTTTTATTGTCCAAATTGTCCCTGTTGATGTCCCGTTTGCTATAGAGCTTTCTTGTAACAGTATTGATATATTCAATGGGAAGCAACTGTGACAGTATGGAAAAAAAATTACCAATGAAAGTTAAATCAAATCTTGATGTGACATACCCATTGCACACTAGTAATAAAAGTGCTTTATATGTGTATATTACAACATTAATTCTCAGAACCTGAAAAGCGTGTGCTGCGGTCAGGGCGTATTTTTAAAACAAAACTACAAAACGTTACGCCCTAAATTCCACACTTATATAATTGTAAAATTATTCAAATAAAACAAAGCCAAATTAGCTACAACAGGAAAAGAAACCATTCTTAAACCCAGAGAAAAGGTGTAGGAAAATTTAACCCAGAGAAAGGGTGTAGGAAAATTTAACCCAGAGAAAGGGTGTAGGAAAATTTAACCCAGAGAAAGGGTGTAGGAAAATTTAACCCAGAGAAAGGGTGTAGGAAAATTTAACCCAGAGAAAGGGTGTAGGAAAATTTAACCCAGAGAAAGGGTGTAGGAAAATTTAACCCAGAGAAAGGGTGTAGGAAAATTTAACCCAGAGAAAGGGTGTAGGAAAATTTAACCCAGAGAAAGGGTGTAGGAAAATTTAACCCAGAGAAAGGGTGTAGAAAAATTTAACCTAGAGAAAGGGTGTAGGAAAATTTAACCCAGAGAAAGGGTTTAGGAAATTTTAACCCAGAGAAAGGGTGTAGGAAAATTTAACCCAGAGAAAGGGTTTAGGAAAATTTAACCCAGAGAAAGGGTGTAGGAAAATTTAACCCAGAGAAAGGGTGTAGGAAAATTTAACCCAGAGAAAGGGTGTAGGAAAATTTAACCCAGAGAAAGGGTTTAGGAAAATTTAACCCAGAGAAAGGGTTTAGGAAAATTTAACCCAGAGAAAGAGTGTAGGAAAATTTAACCCAGAGAAAGGGTGTAGGAAAATTTAACCCAGAGAAAGGGTTTAGGAAAATTCCAACTATTAAATATTACAGTAATATTTGTCACGAAAAAAATTGTTTAATGACATGCCGTAAACTATTACTCGGTACATAAGTGTACGGGTATATATTTTTATCTTCCTTTTAAAATGAAAGACAACAAACTAAAATTCATAGAACTGTACTTTTAAATAAATCTATCACACTCATTTTCGGCTCCCATCGGCTGTCACGTTTGCCGCTAACCATCTATACAAAGGGAAGTAACTCTTGGTGATCAGAATAATATACGATCATTATCAACTGTACCAAAGTAATATCTTTGTCATGAACTTTATATTTTAAGATTTGTTTTTCATTGAGATTTTATTAAGATAAATATTATTCTTTTGATCTTTCCTCATACCACAAACTTTGCTGTTGGAAATTATTCTAAAAACTATCCGATATTTTTAGACATTATTCTCTAATCAAATATATTCTATTCCACATTTTTTTTTGTTTTTACGTACTATGAAGGGGTTTTATTTTGATGGCTAAAATTTGTAGATTATTATTCTGTCGGAGAATCCCTGTTAAAAACCATCGTACTCTCTCTTTCTCTTCAGGGAATTAGACAATATAAACGGTTTTATGAAAGAAACTTAGAATCTCTCTTTTTTTTTTTTTTTGTCTTTTCGAAAGGTTGATTTAATTGATTAATACAATGTATGCAGTATGCTACGTATTTAGTATAAAATAACAATAGGACAGGTATATTCGGGAACTAAATATAGCCAGTTATAAACAAATGGACCAATGATATCGACGGGCTATAAATAGACACGGGGTATTGCACCACTAAGCGTAAAGATGTGTATATAACACAGTTGCCAACAACAGAACTACTTCACTAAAACATTCACTAGAGGGTGGCTTTCTGGTCAAAATGGTGTACAAAATCAACAGATGTCGAGTACATTCCGGAAACACTCTGAGGGCTTCTAACTCAAGGTATCAATCACGTACATACGAAAACACGAGCTCCGTCGACCTCGATACCCAGGGTAACGATCACTTTCGCTGCATTCCTGGGACATATCACGACAAAATTGAAGGTACAAGCGAAGTGATTTGATTGGTTCCGGCAGAGACGTGTTATATACGTCTCTGGTTCCGGGAGAAAAAAAACTGGCCGATAACAGTCTGATACGATTCTTGTGAAGATGACAAATGACCGACAACAAACTACACAGCCATTACAATATGCCGTTTATGCGACCTCTAATCTTTCAATTTTGCCATGACATGTTCCAGCGGTGCAGACAGCGAAAGTGATCGTAACCCATGGAGTATCGAGGATGGGGTTCTCACCACAATGTATACTGAACAAAATAAGTTAAGGATCATAAACTTGAAACAGTGCAGTTTTACATACAAATAATAATATGATTATATTTTAAATTTTAATGACAGAACATTCATTTTAGTCTTTAATTACACAAAACAAATTCATTTGTGGTAATTGCTACCAAGAGCAGATAACCCTGAGTAACAGCACCCTTGAAATCAAAGTGTAAGAGGAAGTAGAGCAAGTTAATCATGTAGACAAGGAAAACTCATCAAACTGCAATTGGCAGTTTAATAGGCAGTATGATCTCCGTTGACATCAATAACTGCCCTGCAACGTCTGCACATGCTCTTTATTAGTCGTCGGTGGCTGATCTGTGGGATGCGCTGCCATTCCTCTTGCAGAGCAATCATAAGCTGTTGGCGGTTCTGTGGCGGATTAGGTCGAGCTGAAACCCGGCGTTGCAAGGTGTCCCAAGCATGCTCGATAGGGTTCAGATCAGGAGAACGACTTGGCCAGTCCATGCGAACGATTGCTTCACGTTGAAGATAGTCGTTGACCACACGAGCACGGTGAGGACGAGCATTATCATCCATCAGAATAAAATCATGGCCAACAACTCCTGCAATGGGCCTTACTATAGGGTGTAGAATCTCGTCCCTGTATCGAACAGCTGTTAAAGATCCATTGTCTATGATGTAGAGGTCTGTATGGAAGTCAACACTGATCCCTGCCCAAACCATCACTGACCCACCACCAAAGCGATCATGCTGGACAACACAGCAGTCTGCATAGCGCTCTCCTTGGGTTCTCCATACCCTCCTCCTACCGTCATGGAAGTCAACACAAAACCTAGACTCATCTGTGAACATAACATTTCTCCAATGACGTAATTGCCAATTCAAATGATGAGTGGCCCATTGATGTCTGGATTGTCGATGACCTCTGGATAAAATTGGTCGGACTGCTGGTCTTCTAGCTCGTAAATTAGAGGCATGGAGTCTGTTTCTGATTGTCTGGGATGAAATCCTTAGATTTGTAGCACGCTGAAACTGAAGATTCAAGACAGGAGCACTCAAAAACCGCTGACGTCGTGCCGTGATGCAAATGAATCTGTCCTGTCGGGCTGTCGTACAGCGTGGTCGTCCAGATCTGGGGCGTTGACGGACGTTATTTGTCTGTTGATAGCGATTCCATAGCCTACTAATCACGCTCTGAGAAACATGAAGCTGTGCCGCCACATTTCGTTGAGTTTGACCAGCTTGAAGGAGCCCTATAGCTCGCGCGGCTTCCATATCATTTAAATGTCTTCGCATGATTAGTTTTTCAAGTTTTCGTTACAAATTGATTAAATGTTTCCAAATTCAACTTTTTTTAGCTTAGAAGTAACAGAATCAAAACCTGCAAGATTCCTCTATAGTAATAGACCAGTCAGTTTTTCACACCACCATAGTTAACTAGAGCGGAACGGCAAGACCTTCAGATGCACGTGCTTTCACCTTTGACATGACTTTAGGTACATATTGGAGAAACTACGAGTGCAATTACCGGCAATACATGATTTGAATTTTTAAAGATATTATGGTCACAATTTATGATCCTTAACTTATTTTGTCCAGTGTATTTCTCAATGAATTGACTTCTACTGACGGTAGAGTTCAATAATTCTCGAGACGACTGCATTATCATTATTGTTGAACTTTTTAATTGATACCATAGTAAATAAGAAAAAAATGTAATCAAAAAGGTAAATAGACATAAGATTTTTCGCGATTTTCCTTTAAAAAATCACATCAAATAACTAATTAAGATTTCACAATCTTGATGTAAAAGGACATCTTATACACAGTGTTGTAATTATTTCACGGATCAAATTTTCACGATCACGCTAATGTCTCTCACTTCGCATAATAATTTAAACATGTCGTCTTGTCTTGTTAATATGTATTTTGGCAAACTTTGTAGGAAATGGCTTAATATAAGTTAGAAAACTCGTGCCCAATCCTACCTGTATATTTGATACCAATAGAATATGTTTAAAGTGTACCCTGAGAGATCAGCTATGTTGACCTTGAAAAATAGTTCTGCACATAAAATACACTATGCCGAAAACGCGAATGCCATGGAATGTTCCGTTACTGAGAAATTGCGAGTTTTCTGAAAAACACACCTTTGGCTGAGAGGCGTTGACCTCGTTTTCGGGCACCCAAACCTGTGACGTCATAAGTTCAACGCTTTTGTTGATGTAGCCATGTTGTCTTTACTGTGCTACATGTGATTGTGATCTATTTTGGGATTTTCCGTGGTAATTTCTTTGTTTATTTACGTGAAAGTACTTCACATCGTCGCAATATCTAAGGTAGTGAACGAGGGGTCGGTGAATTAGCGCTTAAATCCGCTAAAATGGCTTCCTATCGAGGAGGGAAGCGGTGTGTATGGTTGTCCTAACACTAACACGGATGGGGTGTCGATGCATGACGTCGATAAATAAAACTGATTGTTGATTAAATAAAAGTATATTTGTTAGGTTGATATTTTGTTATTAATTCTACAACTAAACATTTTAAATTGATAGGCTAGCCTATGACTTGGGCGGTCATAGGAATATAATGCCTTCGTAATCGTGAACGCCTAATACTCGGAGAAGGCCTAGTCGTGAATGGGTCACGGGAATTTTCACCCCGAGAATTTTCATACTACTATTATTAAGTATAGAATAGAATTATTAGAATTTATAGAATAGGTTATGTGTGTATGTTGTTTGTATAAGGTGTATTTGGTTTTTAGATCTTCCAGCAGACGATGTTGTTTAGTTATTAATTTTGCGATCGTAAAAATAACAATAAGATAGAGATGTCATCTAAACTCATAATCACACCTGTGCCAGGTTAGGTAATTAGCACCTCTGTGGCTGGAAAAAAACAATTGTGACACCTGTGAGGCGACACGCCTGTCGGCTAACAAAAGACGCGTACCAGTGCTAGGGTAAAAACCAGTCAAATAATTGTTTAAACTTCTAGAACATCAAATTTTTATTATTAACACAGCGGAGGGTGTTATAATTGGTTGTTGACACCTTATCTATATATATCCATAGTGCTACGAAAATTCCCTGGAAAGAAAAATTCCCCTCGGACGAAACTTCTTCGGCAAGAAAATTCCGACACCTCGTGAATGTATGCATAGTCTTGCACAAACGCGATTTCCCGACGTCAGAAATTGTTGATCGAGACTTGAAGATAGTAAAATTAGTCCAAAACCACACCCAATTTTATTTTGTTTCTTTGAAACGACGATTCACTGTTCGACTACTTTCACGACTACTGGTGAGACCCAGTGAAGTACGTGCCAATCTATGTTGCCCAAGCGATCGTCACTTTTCGAAGGGTCATTTTCCTCCTCACTGGATACATCGTCTTGTAATTCCAGTTCAAATCGGTAGGGCTGGATTCCGTCTTCAGACATATCATTCACACCATAATCAGACTCCTCAAAACTCATGCTCAAATCGCTCTCAGTTGCGGTGTCGTTGTCACTGTCAGTCATGTTGACTGCCATTTCTGTTGAACTTATGACGTCACGTGTAGAAGAGCCTCGATTCCGCGGAAATGACGATTCGGCTGATTAGGTCTGGGCGGACAGGTGAAAATCGACAACTTTGAGCTTTAATAACTCGACACTGGGGCGACGGATTTTGACGGGGTTTTCATTATTATTATTTTTACGGCATTCTTAACATTATATCTAAATATAAAATTACTCTCAGGGTACACTTTAAATCAAACGTTAATGTACCCCGAAAATATTATCCCCCCGAAAAAAATGGACTATACGGTAATTACCTGTGAAAGAAATGTTTGAATAGTTGTACAGGTATATAGACAAAGGTTGAAATAGGCTTGACCTTTTTATCTTCTCCGTTTGTTTTAATCTTGTACACTTCCTATAAACATATTTATGTACAACTGTACATATGTATTAAAATAAACTGTTATAGTGTTTTTGTGTATGATAATGCTTGTCATAAAATCATTTATTAAAATAAATTTTATACATTTATCTGATGAAGATAAGAAAATTTCCTGACAGCTTGTGATGAAGTCGGTCAGGTCAAAGTTTCAATCTATGTATAGTGGCTGTTCCATTTATCGTTCAGTTTTTTTTATTATAACATGTAACCTTGTTATGGGTATTTGTTACTGGTAGCTTAAGAAATGAAGAAACATTGTTAATAATACTGAAACCCTCATTCTATCATGTGTTCGGTTTTAAGGCTCAACATAACGCAGTTACGGTTTCGGCCTGTTGTTTCCAATTCTGGCTTTATGATTGGTGGAAATATTCCAACAGATTATGAGTGACACCTAGCGGCTATCCTTGATACTCCAGGGGTTACGATCACATTCGCTTTCTGCACTTCTGGAACATGTCATGGCTAAACTGAAGGCATCAGTTAAGTAATTTGATTGGTTCCAAGAAAAACTGACCAATCACAGGCTGATACGTTCCTCTGAAGATTACAAAAGAGCGACCCCCAACTTCAAAGCCATTACAATATGCCGTCATGCGACCTCGAGATACGTTTGATGTACATTAAAGGAGCAAACTAGTCTTTTCGTCTTGTCCACAAGTCGCCGCACATGCCATGACATGTTTCAGGGGTGCAGACAGCAAAAGTGATTGTAACCTCTGGAATATTGAGGATGCCTAGCGGCTGTCATTTGTTTTCATTAATGCTGCCATCTTTCAAAATAGTGACACGCATGCGTAGTCTCTCTTTTGTTTGTATATTAACTAGAAACACAATAGAATTGACCCATCCTCCAACTCACCCCACCAATTTCACTCATCAAAGATTAGTTGATGGAAGAAGTGTTGATAATGTTGCTCATACTTTTAAGTCCTTGAAAATTTGATTTTATTTGTTTTTTGTTATTTTAGGTACAATCGCGAGTACAGACGTCAATCATGTCTGGTAAGAGACTCACAAAATGTTTCCAGGGAAACCACGATTTTAGAAGAACTTGGGTTAGACGAGGACAATGTTGCCTACTCACTGAACAAAACACAACGATGGCTTGTACCACAGGTCCTAAAACACGAGATTTTAACCGAAAACAATGGCTCCGAGGATATCAAGATAAGTTTAGTAGAATCACACAAATTAAAAAAGCAAGCAAATTGTACGGGATTTTATTCAAACAAAGGATTTCTACGTAGAATGATTCCGAGAGATAAAACCTACTTCAATGCTGGGAGTGTGCTTGGAAGCCAAGCGGAGACCACAAACCCGCAGGTGACCGTGAACATCCTGTATCCGTGCCCGGAAACCAGCTCTATTACCCACAATCCTAAGTACTTGCGAGTTGCGGAACAAACATCTGAAAATGTTGAGCCTGATTCTAATAACAATACACAGAGGTTAACCAATCCCACTAAACGTAAATCAAAGAGACATCGTAGGAAAACAGGAACAAAGCAAAGACTAAATGAATATTTGGACGATGTGGAATATTCAGATAAAGATGACTATGAGCTTGATGACCCCTGTACGACTGATGACGTATGTGCAAGGTCAAATGCTGTGTCTGTTGGAGATATATTACATCATTCCAGACTAGTGCAAAATATCCTAAGTGAAACAACAACGAGAAAGCCAGCGCCACACTGCAGTGACTTCAAAGACAGGATAGTGTACATGGACAAGCCTGGAGATGAAGCAGAGAAAAACGATACACAAAAGATATTTTACCAGAAAAAGGGAATCCCGAAAGCATACGATGTAAAAGTATACATTCCATACAGTGACGTCATTCCAGAAAGACTTTCGGTCAAATACGGCAAAAATTATACAGAATGTCGCTGCTACCCGAGAAAATTCATCATTGACATCACCAAAAGAGTGAAAAGAACAATTCTTAATTCGAAAGCATTCTTCGATAAGGACTTACAATGTGTTGATTTCTCATCTGCACTAGTCTTTGTATATGATATGTTTGATGGACTAGACTGCGCAGAATTAGGTCTATTTAAAGTCTTCCTCAACATGAACACGACGCCAAACGAAAGACAGATCTGTACCCTCCTGGAGAATGACGTCTTTGATATTGACGTCGTAATAAACAGGGCTATATCATACACTGAAACTATCCCTTATGATCAATTTGTCCACAAACTACCACCTTACAGATGCAGTGATTCTTCTGCAACATATTTCGAAATTTTGAATGAGGGTTTAGGAGCAACAAAAACAATCTATACCTCCAACGGTACAGCTGTTCAGGACATTATTCATAATACCGATGGAGCAGCGATGTCTGAAGCACTTCATCCGTTTCTAGGAGTCATAACATTGCCTCCTGAAATTTGCTCTGTCTGTTTTGACGCCATTTTGGATAAATCGGCGACAGCTTTGCAAACTTGTGGACATTGGTTCTGCAATTCATGCTGGAACGAACATTTGATCGCATCAGTCAATGGCATGTCAGGAAGTATCACGTGTCCTGAATACAACTGCCAATCAAAAGTCGACTTTAACATCCTCTTGACGACGTCGCCTTTCAATCTCGTAGAACGTGTTTTCCGCCGAAATCGCGATAGGATTATTGAAAACGACACTGAATCAAAATGGTGTCCAAACAAACACTGTGGACGGGTTTTGAAGTATAAGAAAACAAGGGCAGAAAAAGGTTCAAACGTTACTTGCGACTGTGGAACACAGATGTGTTTTGATTGCCTACATTCTGCCCACTGGCCGTTGTCATGTGACCAATACAAGTCTTATGCCGACCAATTACATAAAAACGGAGACGACAAATTCTATCTCACAGCATTGCCCGAACAATGTATCAATTTCGTACGGGTAAAGAGATGTCCAAATTGCGGGCGTTTTATCGAGAACGGTGACGGATGTGCTTATATGCCATGTGTTTGTAATAAGGCCTTTTGTTGGGGTTGTGGAAAGTCTTTTTCAGGTCACGTGTTCACACTTTCATGCCTTGCGAAAGGCGGAACCAAAATGGCCTTCGTCGAACTAGCAGATGAAGTGAAATCCACTGGAGCTTCTTCAAATGCTTACAAACATGCCGTTAAAAATCGATTTCTTCGCCAACCACAAAACCTCAGACAAATGGCATCTGCCGTTCACGAGATTTGCCGGAAACTCACGAATTTGAATCGTCGTTATGGCAATCGTATCGGTGGTGAGCTGGCGGAGTTCAAAGTGACCAAGTCAAGTAATAAGCTATCTGTGAGAGAGAAATTTGCGCCATTCCTTCGCAGTATGATTCGTGTGTACGCCGAAGTATCTCACATCACAGAATTCACGACAATCTTCTTGGCAAATGTTGACTGCGAGGAGAAGATTGGATCTCCAAAACATGTCGTGTCTTCAATTCTTGCGCGTTTGGAAGGGCTAGGAGAGGAAATAATGCTTATTTTCCGTTTAGCTAGTCACCAAGATTCCAGGAATTGTATTTCCCAGTTGTGGCAGGTGCGCTTCCAATGTAGGAAAGTGATTAACAGTTTGATCAGAATGACTAGTCGTTGATTTCTAACAAAACAGAACATTTCCTGCAATATATAGTTTAAGTTGTACGGATGTAAATAGTTTTGAAGATCACTTGATTTCTCTACCACTTTTCACGTTCATTCACATCAATAATCTACTAAAATGTCTTGTGCATCTTTTCACATCTACTGGACAAATAGATGATAATAACTTCTAATTTTATAATTAATCTCTAATGAGCTATTCAAAAGAAATTTTATCATTGAATTCTACATGAAGAGGAATTGGATATTTTAAACTCTGTGGAAGTATTTGCTATAACTGTTCTCATTTGTACTTTTCACAAAGGTGGAGGCTAATATCTTATAACATTCACCGAAGTGTTGAAAAAGGACTACGGTTTTCGCCTTTGATTGCATTATAATATTTTTATCGTTTTAAAATTTATTCAATCCACGCAATAAATTTAGAAAATAATCGGAACCATAGATCTCCATTTAAATTGTATTTGATCTCAACTTCTGATTTCACTGAATTGCCGTTACTACACTACTATCTTCTCTAAATGATATTTCAAATTTATGTAAAAGTGCCAATCTTTTGATGAGTAATCATATTACAAAATAAAATATTTTCTGCCTATTAACACTGCAATATTAATCGACTATGTTCAGTTCTATCGCTCTTATTGTTAACATAGTCAATGTATGCCTTGCACCATGAAAGACAATGCTTAATTCAGCAGTATAACCTCTACAGTGAAACATCGATATAAAGATCACCTTGGGGTCTGGACAAAAGTATTATTAATACACTGAATAGGATATTTAGCGTATCAATAGATTTGAAAAATGAAAAATAAAATGAAGAAGATTTCTGAATGAAATATCGTCTTGTATTACATCTTGCGACGTAGGACCAATTTTTCTTGCACAAGTACACATCGGTTTCCTCAGCGTACAATGAAACACGATTTTGAAAAATTAAGGCCAGATATGATTAACTCGTTATGAAATATTTAACTTTAATTTAAAACTACTGAAATAGATTTTTTCTCTCAAAAGCTTCAATTTTATACGCGGGCTCATTTTATAACTAAACACAAAAAGAAATTGTGGAACATGTAATGACATAACAACATCATTAATTTGTGAAATACGAAAACAATTAGAGATCACTGACATCAACAAGGTTCATAGGTATTTATTTGTAGCTAGGATACCTCCTCCCCAAATATTTCTAGTTTACTTGTCGCCAGTAAATGCACAATCTAATTGGTGAGAAAACAGTTCTTGTATACTTTTAATCGCCAATCCATATGAAATTTGGTAAAAATGTTTAGAAATATACTATAAGAATATTTCAAGCAAAATTAAGATAGCCATTTAGTTGTTTTTGTCTTTAAAGTAGGAGCTTACATTTGACACTATCCAAGGATATGAATGAAGGACACTATGATGTTGCTAAAAATAATTACCTATGAACCTTATTTCATTGGCACATGTGATATACTTTTCTCTTGTATTAAATCATTTTTCCTTTGATATGTCACTCATTGTTTTAATGCATTATCATAACCCCAAAGCTGTTTGGCTATTGATATCAATTGAAGAATCCAAGTAGTGTACTCTAGGTCTAACCAAAACAAAAAGAAAACAAAACCTGCTCGAGATTCGATAAAATATATGAGAGTTGTTCCCCTTCAATGGCACGGTTTTATAGAACGCGAGCAAGAAAAATAAATCAAATCAACTGGAGGTTATTTGGTCATAACATGTCTATTAATATAACACAAAATAAGATATTTAGCGTGTCAATAGATTTGAAAAATGAAAAATGAAATGAAGAAGATTTCTGAATGAAATTATCGTCTTGTCCTGTTACATGCGACATAACATTTATTAGGTAGGATAAGTACACATCGGTTTCCTCAGCGTACAATGAAACACGATTTTGAAAAATTAAGGCCAGATATAATTAACTGGTTATGAAATATTAAACTTTAATTTAAAACTACTGAAATAGATTTTTTCTCAAAAGCTTCAGTTTTATACGCGGGCTCATTTTATAACTAAACACAAAAAGAAATTGTGGAACATGTAATGACATAACAACATCATTAATTTGTGAAATACGAAAACAATTAGAGATTATTGACATCAACAGGGTTCATAGGTAATTATTTTTAGCAACATCATAGTGTCCTTCATTCATATCCTTGGATAGTGTCAAAAGTAAGCTCCTAATTTAAAGACAAAAACAACTAAATGGCTATCTAATGTAACGTGTTAATGTATATTTAGTTTAATTTTTTCAAATCTCAATTCATTGTACGGTACGGAAACCGATGTGTACTTGTCCTATCTTATAAATTTGATGTCGCATGTAATAAGACAAGACGATAATTTCATTCAGAAATGTTCTTCATCCGTTTTCATTTTTTGAAATCTATTGATACGCTAAGTATCCTATTCAGTGTTATATTTAATAAAGACGTTATGATCAAATGACCTCAAATTTATTTGATCAATTTTTCCGTGTCGTTTTTCGGTTCTCGTTTTCTAAAACCGTGTCATTGAAGAGGACCAACTGTCATATATTTTATCTGATCTCGCGCATGTTTTTATTTGCATCGGCCTTGTCTGAAATAAAATGCGTATATTCGAGGTGTCATCGACACTTTTCGAGGATTTTGGGTAGCCCTGATAAGGACTTTTTAAGATGAGGGGGTCGGTCAGGACCAACCATCAGCTGTGAAGTGTTTACTTTTTGGCGGATTTCTTTGCTGCTGGTTTCTTAGCTGCGGGCTTCTTTGCTGCTGGTTTCTTGGCTGCAGGCTTCTTGGCTGCAGGCTTCTTTGGAGACTTGGCCTTCTTCGGCTTGGAGGCAGGTTTCTTAGCTGCTGGCTTCTTAGCGGCTTTCTTTGGGCTTTTTGCTTTCTTCTCGCCTGATGCCTTCTTTGGTTTAGTAGCTGTGGCCTTCTTTGGCTTCTTCACTTTCTTAGCTTTTGGTTTCTTTTCGGCCTTTGGTTTCTCTCCAAGTCGGAATGAGCCGGAGGCTCCAACGCCTTTCACTTGCTTCACAGAACCCTTCGAAACGCTGCTTTTCAGAGCAACTTTCACTCGGGAACTAACCTTGCTCGAGTCATCACCAACTTTGTAGTTGGCCATAATATATTTGACGATGGCGACTTTTGACGAGCCTTTCCTCTCCTTCAGGGCTCCGATAGCTGCAGCTACCATATTGGCATATGGAGGGTGGGCAGCGGGAACCTTAGGCTTGCTTGCCTTCTTGACTTTCTTTGCTGGAGATGCTGGTGCGGCGCTCATGTTGACGAGTGGGGTATGCTTCCTGTACACAGAATAGCGAGAATGACAAATTTTTCTCGAAACCGCCTATTTACACATTTTGCTCGGACGTCGCCGAAGACACCACCTCGAGCGTTTGCTTTCTGCTGACTATATATTATCGATATACGAATTGTGTGTTTTCTGACCTAACTTTAACCTGCTATAGTTCCTTGATTTCACATGAAATACTTTTAGTTTCGATGCTGTTCGCAAGAATTTTGTTAGTAAATTTCATTTATTTCTTGTATGAATGTCTATATATAAGAATAATTCCTGTTTTTAAAGCATTTCTGTCGATATTATGATTTGACACCAGTAAATTTCCACTTTAAATGTAAATTTATCGTATCAATTGTTGTTCCAATGCTTTTATTGTTACCAACAAATAAACTATGAATATTTCCCTTTAGTATGATATGCCACACATGTACAGATATATACTACATTTCTGGTAAAAAAAGAATTCACTCGGCGGACAAAAGCACAAACATCGAACAGGCGCCATATTGTTACCTACGATGACGCTATAATAACGATACATGTATTTTACTTAAATCATACATTTGATGAAAATTTTATTAAAATATACACTGGAAACATTTAGAATACTAGTTTAGGTATCTTTTCAACTGCAATAGCGATGCCATAAGAACATGTTTTCGTTAATTTAGTAAGTGTACGATCCGCCTCTCCCACTCGTATTGACGTGACCTAGCTATTTCACGAATCTTGATGAAGATTAAAACTTGATCGTGTCAATAAATTTGGACAAATTTGAATATTATTTCATTGGTACATGTGATATACTTATCTCTTGTATTAAATCATTTTTCCCCGTGATATTTCACTCATTGTATTAATGCATTATGATAACCCTGAAGCTGTTTGGCTATTGATATAAGTGCACTGTCGAAGAATCCAAGAAGTGTACTCCAGGTCTACCCTATTTTCATCATTATCTTAGACATATTTATATCATTCCAAAAAGAAGCTGCCGTTTGATTTTAACATCAATAATAATCAGTTTTCCGAAACTACTTTTGTTTTGAAGTCTGGTATGAAGTGTTATTAATGAACTTCCAAGTGGTCTATATATAAATAAACAATTATCAGGATTTTTATAGACTTTTCAATTTTATCTTTTAAAACTTTTCTCTCAAAAACAAAACAACAAATGAAAAATGAAGACGAAAAAAACATTGTTCGATCAAACGCCTATTAAAAATCACACACATAAAAGCGAATGTTAATTGTCATGTATGTGAGACATTGTTTTTTATTTTTATTGTAAAGTTATTATGTAATTACGGTTTAAACGAGATCTTCTAAGGTTTAGGAAGTCTTCAATCATTAATTGGAAATGAAATGAGAATCCTGAAAATCAAAACCTTTAGGCATTGAAATATGGTATATTATTGGAGATGTAATTATCTTAAAACGTATACATAAATAAAGAGACGATTTTCTCTTGGTGAACAAAAACAAAAACAAGCTCGAGATTAGATAAAATATATGAGAGTTGGTCCCCTTCAATGACACGGTTTTAGAAAACGCGAACCAAAAAACGACATGGAAGAATTGATCAATTAAATTGTGGTTATTTGGTCATAACGTGTCTATTAATATAACACTGAATAGGATATTTAGCATATCAATAGATTTGAAATATGAAAAATGAAATGAAGAAGATTTCTGAATGAAATATCGTCTTGTATTACATCTTGCGACGTAGGACCAATTTTTCTTGCACAAGTACACATCGGTTTCCTCAGCGTACAATGAAACACGATTTTGAAAAATTAAGGCCAGATATGATTAACTCGTTATGAAATATTTAACTTTAATTTAAAACTACTGAAATAGATTTTTTCTCTCAAAAGCTTCAATTTTATACGCGGGCTCATTTTATAACTAAACACAAAAAGAAATTGTGGAACATGTAATGACATAACAACATCATTAATTTGTGAAATACGAAAACAATTAGAGATCACTGACATCAACAAGGTTCATAGGTATTTATTTGTAGCTAGGATACCTCCTCCCCAAATATTTCAAGTTTACTTGTCGCCAGTAAATGCACAATCTAATTGGTGAGAAAACAGTTCTTGTATACTTTTAATCGCCAATCCATATGAAATTTGGTAAAAATGTTTAGAAATATACTATAAGAATATTTCAAGCAAAATTAAGATAGCCATTTAGTTGTTTTTGTCTTTAAAGTAGGAGCTTACATTTGACACTATCCAAGGATATGAATGAAGGACACTATGATGTTGCTAAAAATAATTACCTATGAACCTTATTTCATTGGCACATGTGATATACTTTTCTCTTGTATTAAATCATTTTTCCTTTGATATGTCACTCATTGTTTTAATGCATTATCATAACCCCAAAGCTGTTTGGCTATTGATATCAATTGAAGAATCCAAGTAGTGTACTCTAGGTCTAACCAAAACAAAAAGAAAACAAAACCTGCTCGAGATTCGATAAAATATATGAGAGTTGTTCCCCTTCAATGGCACGGTTTTATAGAACGCGAGCAAGAAAAATAAATCAAATCAACTGGAGGTTATTTGGTCATAACATGTCTATTAATATAACACAAAATAAGATATTTAGCGTGTCAATAGATTTGAAAAATGAAAAATGAAATGAAGAAGATTTCTGAATGAAATTATCGTCTTGTCCTGTTACATGCGACATAACATTTATTAGGTAGGATAAGTACACATCGGTTTCCTCAGCGTACAATGAAACACGATTTTGAAAAATTAAGGCCAGATATAATTAACTGGTTATGAAATATTAAACTTTAATTTAAAACTACTGAAATAGATTTTTTCTCAAAAGCTTCAGTTTTATACGCGGGCTCATTTTATAACTAAACACAAAAAGAAATTGTGGAACATGTAATGACATAACAACATCATTAATTTGTGAAATACGAAAACAATTAGAGATCACTGACATCAACAAGGTTCATAGGTATTTATTTGTAGCTAGGATACCTCCTCCCCAAATATTTCTAGTTTACTTGTCGCCAGTAAATGCACAATCTAATTGGTGAGAAAACAGTTCTTGTATACTTTTAATCGCCAATCCATATGAAATTTGGTAAAAATGTTTAGAAATATACTATAAGAATATTTCAAGCAAAATTAAGATAGCCATTTAGTTGTTTTTGTCTTTAAAGTAGGAGCTTACATTTGACACTATCCAAGGATATGAATGAAGGACACTATGATGTTGCTAAAAATAATTACCTATGAACCTTATTTCATTGGCACATGTGATATACTTTTCT